TGTATAGGAATGGTCGAAAGAATTTCTTCTACTAAATCATCCATTACAAATTTTACATGTATGGGAGAAATGAAAGTCCCATCAGGAGACTCATTATCTATTTGTAATAATTATTGTCTCCTCAACGCTAGAAATGGCATTGTGAGGAAGACAAAGAAGAAGAATAATTATTGTTATTGGAAAAATATGAACCATCCAGGCATAATTCTATTGCGCTTATAAGTAAAGTTTGTGGATTTTTCATAACTGTTGTGATTATTTTCCATCATTTTATGATTGATTTTATTGCTACTTATTTTCTAACATTTGTAAAAATCGAAGCAACATCTAGGGATATTAGTCTATTATCAATTGGTATCTTTTGTTTTTCAATATAATTTTTGAATAAAAATGAATTTTTTATATTCAAATCATTTTCTATTTTTGACTTGTGCAAGAAGCCAACAAAGAATTTGGCTTAACCGGAAGTTGCAGAATTCACAAAGGAAACTATCAGTCGTTACTGGAAATTGGTTTTGTGTACTTCAGGAAGTCCAAAAATTTTAGGCGGTATCTCGGTATCAATCAAGCAAAAGTTTTGCTAATGAATTGTTCTGTTTAATAAGATTTTGGGTTGGATCTGAAATTTTTCGGTAATATAATTTATAACTTACCATTATTCTCTACTTATCATTTATTCTCTCTTCATAATCCTGTTTATATATTGTTACATAATGCCTCCTTTATACGTCTATGTCACTAATAACTAACTCCCTGGCGCTACAGGCCAGCATGACCCTTGTCCTCCTGAATTATTATTCTCCATTTCTCTCTTCCAATTGCGAACTCCTAACATCCTCATGTATCTCTCCACTTCATCCTTCCATCTGCTTATCGGCCTTCCTCTTTTCCTCTTCCTACTGAAGTGCGATACCAATATTTTCGCATGTGCCTGCTCATTCTCCATTCTGATTACATGTCCTGGCCATCTCAGCCTATTTGCCTTGATATAGTTAGTAATGTTTTGATTTTCTAATACAGACTCGATTTCATTGTTACTTTTTATTTTCCACTCACCATTAACACTTGTAGCGCCGTAAATCCTTCTTATTATTTTCCTTTCAAATACTTTTAGTTTACAGCAATCCTCTTGCGATAAGCATGAGGTTTCCACTCCATTGGTGAGTACTGGTCTAATAAGCGTTGTATACAGCTTTAATTTTATAGCTTTTGACAACAATGGAAACTTGAGAAATTTTAGGTTTGCATAGTAGTCTCTATTACCAGGTGTTGGGGCCAGGGGTACTTCAAAATCGAAGTACAGATCTTTCCCCGGTGCGTTTCCTCAATGGTGGGAAAATTCGAAAAAAATTAAAAAACGTTGGGAAAGAAGGAGAAAAAAAATTACTGAATAATGAGACCTATAAAACATTAGAGAAAAAACAAATACATGCACAAGAAAATATTTAAAAAAATAGAGATATTTCAATAAATCAAATAATGGAAAAATGAAAATCCCCTTTTGAATGTGTACAATTTATTGAGAAAGAGAAAGAGATATAAATTTATATACAATAGTTAAAAAAAATAAATAAAGAGTAGAATGAATTTCACTGAAATGAAAAAAAACACAAAATATAAATCAGTGAACATAAACCCAAAATTACAATTATTAATAAAGAAAAAAAAGAAATCAATTTCTGGATTAAAAATAAAACGAGAGATAAAAATGATGGTCCAAAAGAATAAACTAGTCTAGCTAAGAAAACAGTTAATTAATATTTAAATGTCTTGGTGAGAATAGAAAACACAAGCCAAGTTGGAGGTTCTGCCTCCAACCTGTTATCTTCCGATCTCCAGCTGTCGAGTAATCGATGGTGGGGTCGTATCGATATGTATCGAGTACTCAGCTGCGCCCTACAGCTGATCTTCAAAAATAGCGCTGGTGATGTGTTGCGAGATTAGACGGCCTGGAGCTTGGTGAGATTGGTGGGAGTAGACCTCCACTGCATGGGTCTAATGTCGACAAGAGCCATCTCCGGACTTCCGAAAAAACAACAGGGCACTGATACTAGGCCGGTGGGGTTTAGTTAACTGGAGCGGCTGGTGAGAAGGTGAGAAAAATTGTCCACTACGTGGGCCCATAACGAAGGCCAGCTCCAGACTGCCCCGGCCGTATTTTGAAGTCTTAATCCCTAAGACAGGGTATTACTACCGGGCTGGTGTGTATACAAATGAGCTATAATACATCGCAAAATAAGCCTAAATATAAAAATACATAAACTTAAATACATTTTAGGGACAATTAATTGTCCCTCAAACTTTTACAAAAATAAAAAATAAACATTATCGTTAACATTGAAAAGAGGTAAATGTGAGAGAAAATAATAATGAAAAAATTAAGAAATAAGTCTATGCGGCGTTAACACCAGGCATTATTCTGTTGTTGATTTCTCTGCTGAACCAAGGTACACAAATGTAGGTACATTTTCAAACCTAAAATTTCTTATTGAATATTTAATACTTGACCATTGTTAATAGTTCAATATCACAAGACAAAGACGAGTCAAGTACCAAGTAACTGTAGAAAAAAAGAATTATAAAACCCAAAGAAATTCATGCCAAATGTTATTCCAATAATTCATTATCAAAATACGAAGCCGGATAGAGGAAGGAGATGATGAGGAAGGGGTGGCGGTCATAAATCGACTAAAATAGTGAAAAACTATTCTATTTCAAGCCAACGTTTCGACCCGAATTTGAAGGTTTTCTTAGGGCTAGAACGGATAAGACACAAAAGGAAATGAAAAATTGTGGAAGTTACATAATATTTAGATAAAAATTATAAACAAGGTGAATAAAGTTAATGAAATTATAAACAGTAAGTACATTGAAATATTAAGAACAATCTACATAAATAAAATAAAGGTTTTGTCTGTACAATATTTTGTTATTCTCAAGGGACTGTGTCCCAGAATAAAGTTATTTTTCTATCTATCTATCTATCTACAATGAATAGAATCATCCCGTTACAAGATATCTTTTCGTTTCATACATTACAGACACCAAATCCGCTTTTAAAAAAAATTTTGTCTGTCTTTTTGTCCGCATTGTCCAACAAAATTATGTCTGGGGTAAGCTCAGCAATGACTAATGGTAGACTTTTGAAATTTTGACATTATATTTAGGTTTGCTTGACTTAAAACATAGGCTTTAAATGGAAACAAAATATTGAGTAGAATCAAAGTTATGAATTCTTGAGTAATTTGTCGAGGGACCCCTGATAGGCAATTTCTTATTTCGATTATCTTCCCAACTTACTCTACCGCAGGCCACATTTAAAAGTTGTACTATTCAACTTCAAATTGATGAAAAAAATTATCACAACTATTTTTGTTCTTCCCTCATGCTATATTACTGGCTCAGTTATATCTGAATTAAACTTCTGGGTTTGCTTTCTCTTTCTCTACACTCGAAAAAATAGATCTTCAAGATGAAAAACAAATTTCGGTTCTTCAGTAAATAAACAATGGTTCCAGTCCTCATCAGTCAAATCAACATGTTCATGAGCACAAAAGACATATTGCTATCTGTTATCTTATTAATGAAACTATCTTTACACATCTGTTCATCAAGCCAACTTAATTGAAGTGGTTTATAAATGTTTGAGTTAACTATCAATTGCAGCTGTTGGACATATCAATAAAAATGAGGTTGATGAAATAAATTATATATTGATATAACCAACTCATTGAAGAACCATTTTGTTCTCCATTTAGAGGAATTAACAGTAATTAATAGTCCAGTAACCTTGTACATCGTAGTTGTATCAAGTGGTGGTAGAAGATTACTTTTTTTTTCTTGTATGGAATGTGATTTAGATGCAAAATCTAAATTTGGCCTCTATATGTGGCCTCCCAGGTCACTTCTGAATATCCCAATAACAACTATATTTTCATAGTCTTTTCAGTTTTTCCCCATTTTACCATGATGAAGCACGTTTTAGTCAAAAAACATTCTATACATTATTAAACTAGATGAAATTGACTACAATTTGAAACTAGAATAGGGTCAGTAAACCTAATAGGATTATTTATTCATAATTGATGTCATGGAGGAGGTGGATTGGCAGGATTGCTTGGTCCTTGTCCTTTGGTGCCCCACCATTGTCAAAATGGAAATAAAACGAGAATTTGGCAGTTTTGGGGATATTCAAAAGTGAAAACTTGGATTTTTGCATCTCAATGACATCCCAAACTAAAAAAAAAAAAAAAAAAAATATACCTTCTACCACCATCTAATTCAACTTTGACCCCTATTCATGACAAGTTTACTGGACTATCAGTGCTGTATTTTAAGTTTTCACAAATTGAAAGAGTATATGGTTTTATTTAAGAAAATAATATAGACTTTAAAACAATTATTGATTTTATTAATGCCTATACTACTCTTAAATAAAACTGCATTCCTTAAATTAATAAAACCTTAAAAAATATTGCTCTTATTACTATTACTTCCATTATATGGATAAAAAATGGCCATTCAATCTTATGTAGGGAAGTAAACCTGATGGTTGGCTATAGTCATCCTTGTATCCTCATATGATTGTCTGTCTAGAAACATTATTTCATTATCAATTTCTGATCACAGAACCCCTAATATATATTTTTTGAAGATGTCGATTTTTAAAGAACATTGCTATTAATTTTTTAGTAGTTTATATATATATATATATATATATATATATATATATATATATATATATATATATATATATATAGATAGATAGATAAAAAGTAAACTTTATTCTGGGACGAGGTCCCTTTTGAATAACAGATATGAACAAAAAAAAATAAAAACTACATCTGGCCAAAAATTAAATTAAATTATATATACCATTAAATGTAATCTTTATTCAATAACTTCTAATATATTATTAATCTGATATCTAATATTTTCAGTTTAGTTCATGTTCTCTTCCATAAAAGCAAAGTGATTTTTTTTATTTTCTGTTTTATTAGTTAGCCAAACAAAATTCATTGTTCTTAATGGAAGGTGTATGGTCACGTTTCTTTCCAGTATATGATGAATTATCACAACTGCTTGCCTCTAATGTCATAGGGGATGTTATTTATTTGAAAGCAGATTTTGGGGTGCCTTTTGCTTTAGACAACACAGTTAGGTATGTGTTCTATTCACTTTAATTAGAAGAACTAGAATTATTTAATTATATAATTATTTCAAATATAATTGTTTTAGAAGTGAGGAAATTGGTGGAGGGACCATTTTTGATTTGGGTGTTTCTGTGCTGCAGTTAGCTATTTTTGTTTTGGGCCGAAAACCTTACTCGATTGCTGCTGTAGGTCAAATCAATGAATATGGAATCGATGAAAGTATCAACTATATTTTGAAATATCGTGATGGAAAGACTGCAAATTTTTGTACCCATAGCAAAATAAAAATGGACAATTCGGCAATGATTTATGGATCAAATGGATACATAAAGGTATTGTATTTTAATGTTTGTTCTTGAGTTTAATTCTGTTGACTATATCTTTACTTTAAGGAATACTTATGTAGATAACAACTTATATCAAACACTGTTTTATTTAATTTTTATTCTCTTACTGGGTTTGTCATTGTTTTGAGAGTGTTTTACAATACCTACTACCCATTCTCACTAGTATTATTGTTTATGAATTAGAGGCATAAAACATGAAGAGTATTAGAAAACAACTCACAAAGAGATGAAGAATAAGAAGAAAGTAAATTTTATTGTGTGCTGTTTAGTCCCCTAAGAATAACAAACAAGTAAAATGACTATTATATTATAACATAAATCTATCTGGCACATAATAGCTGACAAATTGTTAATGACTGACTACAGAATGATTAGTAAAAGAATTAACTATTCAAATCAATAATTTCAAGCAATTATTTTTTAAAATAATAATTTTATTTGTAGTTAGTTTATTTATTTTTTTAAACTAAAATTTTTCATAGCACTTTGTGTAAGATTAAATTAAATTCATTCAATTCCAAATGACTAGTTTTTTTAAATTTATTTTATTTTATTTATCGGCTCGACAGGCGCCTGAAGTTATCCTTGGCCCTCTCAACTGCCCTTTCCCAATCATTTCGGTCAGCAGCATGTCTGCTGGATACTCCCACCATCATCAAATTCTCAGCCACGGACTCCTTCCACCTTCCCTTCGCTCTTCCACTTGGTCTTACTCCATCCGGGGTTCCATAATATAATTTCCTCACAGCTTCACAGAATTCGCACAAAATGATAAACTCGGAGATTGTCGAATAAGACGTAGATCTCTTTGTTCTTTCTTAAACATGTACCTACCATTCTCTTTAACTGGCCCCATGATGCGCCTCGACACTTTTCTTTCAAAACTGTCAATCTTTTCAGCCAGACTTTTGCGTAGGGTCCAGGTTGCAGAGGCATAAGTCAGTACAGGTCGGATGATTGTTTTGTATATAATCATTTTGTACCCCGACTTAGTAGCTTACTCCGGAGGAAATATATATATATATATATATATATATATATATATATATGCTTTGTTGCAAAATATGCTTTGTTAGCCCCCATTTCACAATTTTGAATTTCTTCTTCCTCGTCAACCTGATCATTAACGATGGAGCCGACATACTTAAAACTGGACACGCATTGAAACGTATATTGTCCCACTACATAATGCATAGGCGGATTTATAGGTGTCTTCTTCTTGAGCACTATAATTTTTGTTTTTCCCTCATTTATGGATAATCCCATTCTTCCAGCTTCTCTTTGCAACCTTTCACAGGCCTCCTTGATTGCCTTGAGGGACAGTCCAATCAGTGCCACATCATCAGCATATCCAAGCACTTGAGTTATTTTACTAATAATGGTGCCCGACTGACTACGCTCTGCTCTATTGGACAACTTGGAGGGCGATGTTAAATAGAAGTGGGGAAAGGGGGACACCCTGTCTAACTCCTAACTTCAAGGTTGGCCAAGCTTCCCATTTATTTTCACTCGACTCGCGCTCTCATTCAAAGTACACGATACAAGTCGGATTAGCTTTGGTGGAATTCCCTTCTCTTCCATTGCCAGGTAGAGCTCTTTCCTGATAATGGAATCATAAGCTGCTTTAAAATCGATGAAAAGGATCCATATAATGTTGTTGAATTCTTTTGTTTTTTCCATTATTTGTGGGCTCATTTCATGGTCATTCCAAGTGTCTCAAAAATCCTTATCAGGATACTCGTCATCTTCCCTAGGGTTTAGCAATTCCTAAAAATGCTCCATCCTTCTACCTTGAACATCCTGATCCTGGAAGACCATTTCCCCATCAGAACGCTTTATCATTGGACAGTTATTTATAAAACCTGATTTTATTTTACTTATTTCACCCAAAAACTTTCTGGCCTCATTGTTCCTGCTGTACTCTTCCACCTTACGCTAGTTTTCCTGCATATCTTTTCTTATGCCTCAGAACCTTTCTTGTATTAGCTCTGGCTTCCTGACACTCCTTTCTTTCCTGTCTAGTATCCCCGTTTAGAAGTTTTTTCCTCTTTTCGTTCTGCACATTAACTGCTTCTTTACACTCCAGATCAAACCACACATTTTTTAACTTTCTGTTTTCATCTCTCTTATAATGTTGGTTGGCTGAATCAGATATAGCTTTTCTAATATGGTTCCATTCCTCATTCACATCTCTTCCTCCGATTAAAGCTGGGATGTTAACTACACCTCTTTCAACGTCTATCAGGAAAGCATACCTCTTCTTTTAACTTTTCTCTTGCCCAGGTGATCTGCAGTTTACTCTTTTCCAACATTCTTATCTTATATGCATGTTTGATCTTTGCAAATACCAGAAAATGATCAGTAGAAATGTCTGGTTCCCTATATGATCTCACATCATTAACTATATCAAAATGTCTACTAGAGACCACAACATGATCGATCTGCGTTGCAGTTTCATTTGGTGAAATCCATGTTTATTTGTCTTTTTCTTTGTGAGTAAATACTGGTTCTTTACCAACCTGAGCATTAAAATCACCCAAAACTATTTTCATATCAAAGGAAGGGAAAGCAGCTATAGTCCGTTCTAAATCTTCATAGAAAATGTCCTTTTCTTCCTCATCTTTTTCTTCTGTTGATGTATGAACATTAATCAGAGTGATATTAAATTTTTTCCCCTGAATCCTTAACTTGCACAACCTTTTGTTTAGTGGTTGGAAGTCAAGAACTGCTTTCCTCAATCTCCTTGATACTATGAAAGCTGTACCGAACTCATTTCTATCCTGATCTCCACTGAAGAAAATATCAAAATCGTTCCCACTTTGCTTTCCAAAACCGGTCCAACATGTTTCCTGAACAGCAGTTATATCTAAATTCTGTCCATGCTCCAGGTCTACAGAGTGATCTTACGTTCCATGTTCCAACTTTATTAGCCATATAATGACTTCCAGGTCGTTTACATAAATCTGTCCAAAATCCGAGGCTATACTATTGAGAAAAAGTAACCTATGTTTTTTTTTATAAAAGGTGGGTAGTCAGCCCCCTTTAACCCTCCTGCTTTATCCGGGCTTGGGACCGGCAATGAAGTCTAGTTAACTAACTCCACAGGTGCAGTTATTTTTTTTTAAATAAAAATTTTCATAGTACTTTGTGTAAGATTAAATTAAATTCATTCAATTCCAAATGACTAGTTAGAACGTTTAATCATGAGATATTATACATTTCCTACGCTTAATTAATATAAATTTAAGAATCTCAAAACAATCTTTCAAATTTTCTAACCTTTACTTTGCACATTTTTGGTTTATAGATCAAAGATCCATTTTGGGCTCCCACTGTGATTTCTGTTAATAATGGAGAGAAAATAAGATATGCACTTCCTGTTATTGAAAGAAAACAATATTTTACCCATAGCCAAGGTTTGGTGTATGAAGCAACAGAAGTTCGAAACTGCATAGAAAAAGGTTTAACCAATATATTGTTGAGTTACAAAATTTTTAGTTATATTGTAATACTATATGTTTACTTATTTTAGGTTTACTTGAATCCCCAAAAATGACGCATGAAGATACCCTGACTATTTCAAAATGGCAAGAAGAAATATGCAAATTAATTGGTTCAAAATACTAGTATTAATCATAAATATAAATATAATAAAGATACATTTGTTCCATTTATTGTATGTATGGCCTTTATAGCTTTATATTAATTAAAATATAATATCAATACTGTTGTTATTTTTCAATAAAATAAAAAAGACAAATAAAATCTATTTGTTAAGGAAACAGTTATGTCATTACTATTAATCCAATTTATGAGTCCAAATCGGGTTTTTCAACTACCATTATTTTTAATATAAAACCAAATTCTCGCACAGGTATACTAGTTACATATATTCTTTTTTTAAATTATAACATATTACTGCTGCTACAAAATATAAGTACTTGTCAAGAATTGGAAATAATTAAAGATCTCTCATTGTTAGTAGTAATACAAAATGGATAAATATATGTTTATATTTTCGAATCTGAATTTTCAAAAGAAATAAACGTTTTGAGGTCCTCAAGTCCAGCAAAATGATCTCTGTGTGCACTTGTTTTTTTTTGTCTATGTGGGTAGGTGGAAATCTTCAATAGACACGAATAGGCCTGTACCTATTCGCCTGCGGGATCCTTACCCACTAAAAGCAATCTCCCTTCACCTGTTCATTTCCCTCCATGAAACTGTCATTAGGCATTACTTCATGGAAGGGAATGACAATGTGCCGTCTAATTGTTTTATGTATGCTCATTTAATTGTCGTGAGAGATTAATTATCTTCTGGCTAAAGGCCTCTCTTGATCCTTTCTCAATTTCTTCAGGACAGCTGTGACGAATCTCTTCACAGCTTCCCAATGTTTGTCCGTTCGTAACATAAGTGTCACTAGATTTTCGGGAGTAACATTCACTCCACATTCATTCTCCAATTCTTTTCTTTCCACATCGAAGCGGGTGCATGAAAAGAACATGTGTTCTACTGTTTCTTTGATTTCTATTCAGGCCGGGCATTCAGTATTGTTATCCAATTTGAACTGGCATTGATAGGCTCTAACGCACACGTGTCCAGTCAACAGCAGGATTATACTTAGAAATCCATCTCACCATGTCGACGACCATACCATGAGCTAATATTGGACACTAATATATAAGTCCATCTCCGAATATCAGCAATATCCCATCCGCTGTTGCCAACAGTTGATAATTATTTTCCGTCCTTCTTCTTTTGAGACTCCAGAACTTCTACTATAGGATCTGCTTCCTCATCAACTAACAGTTAAACAGGAGACAAACTAGTTATTACACATAGCGCTTCATAGGATACAGTCTGAAATCTATTAGCTACCCTTAACAAAGTTAAGCAATACACGGAGACCACCTGTCTTCTATATGATTTCGTGATTATTGTTTCTTTCCAAATTTCTGCTCCATATTAGAAAAATTGAAGGTATAACAGGCGCATTCTCGCTTCTGCTTTCTGCGGCTCTCTTTAGGGCCTTCTACCTTCGGTATGAGGTGTAACAATAAGAACATGACTCTAGAAGCTTTAGCACTGATATACTCCGTGTGAGCATTGAACCTGAGACGAGCATCAATGAGGACTCCCAGGTATTTCAGGTATGGCTGAAAACAAAACTCGTGCCTACCTACTGTGACAGTATTATTTGCCAATGACCCATCAACAATGCAACAAATGGTTAATAAAGTAGAAAACTATTGTGATATATGGGGACTAACTGTTAATTTGGAAAAATCTAAAATAATGGTATTCCGGAAAGGGGGTAAACTATCGAAAAAAGAAACTTGGAATTACAAATACTCAAAAATTGAAATAGGAAAAGCCTATAAATATCTTGGATTTAAGATTACTCTGCAATTATCCATACAAGAGCATTTGGTAGAAAAACTCAAGTTGGAAAATTTAGTGTTTTAAGTACATGGAATAAACTACTAAATAACAATAATATTCTGCTTAATTCCAAATAAATGTGTATAATTCAATATCTAGAGCTTTAAGTTACTCGGCAGAAACATGGGGTTTTGAGTTCCCAAAAGAAATAAAAAGATTTCAAAAGTTTTTCTTAAAAAGGCTGTTTTCACTTCCATACAACTGCCTGGACTATATGTTGTATTTAGAAACAGATAAGGAACCACTTACATATTTTATATACAGACTATATCTACGATACATAAATAAAATTCTAACATTCTCAAACAATTGTTTTCCTTAAGTAATAACTGACATAAAGAAAATACAGATATTTATCAAAAATTAACGGGTAAAAACACTTAATATACAGCCATCAACAAACATCTGAACTATTAGTGGCAATACAAAATTATTTCAAGAAATAAATTCTAAATAAAGTAGTTTCTGCAAAATTTTATATATAAAGAATTAAATTTCCAACTCGATGACACACATTATATTAATAATCACTGAAAACAACATTTTATGGATACCATAATTAGACTCCGAAGTAAGCACCTAGGTATTAAATTGTTCCACTGAGAGATTTGAAGATCAAATGTTCTGCTCCATGGGCAATTTAAAAGAAATAGAAGATATACTACATTTCATTGGTACATACCCCATGTTAAAAGAATTCCAAAATATCTATTTGGGAAAAACATTACTTAATAGCTCTGAAGTAATGGATTGTCTTAGCAGCAAGGGCTGGGACAGTTTATATAAATAGTTGACTATTGCATTCAAATATAGAAAACAAATGATAAACAAATTCAACTATTAATATGTGTGCATTTATAAACAGAACTTACGTTTATGTAAATATTTATGAATTGGATGATGTTGGATTATTATTACAATTTATATTAATATTATTATTAATTATATTTATGGTTTATATATTGCTATTTATTATTATTTATATTGCTATATTGTTGTTATATTGTATGTATTCAAATTTTATATGGATTTGGTATTTAGGAAATGGAAACTATGTATATGTATGCTCATAATGTTTCGCAATTTATTTAATATTTATAGGTATAATTTTGGTCTTCAGTTATGAGAAACAAATCTTGTAATATTACATAGTATGATTTGAAAATAACATGTAAAAGTGGCCATCCAGGTAGACGGACAAATAGCCCATTGCTTAATGTGTGTAAGTTATCCTGTAATATCACAAAAATTTTTTTTATCTTAGCCTTTAGTAAGGCAAATTGTTATAATGTAAATTATTTTGTAATCGAAATGAAGCACACTGTTACAGTGGCGGATCCAGGAATTTGCTCAGGGGAGCTAACCTCTGTACCAGATGCTTCTCCCCCCCCCTCCCACTCCTTAGCTGAGTTTAGCTGCTCAAAAGTCCTCTTTGAATGGTTTTAACAAAAGCAAACTCTATTTTTATTTAAAGTAAATTCTGTCTAGCTTACAGTGAAGCAATCGTTAATTATTTAAATTAAATAGTTTTTTAGTTATCACTTCCTTTAAAAAAAAAGAAAAAAAAAAGTGACACTTGAAAAATCACAAAACTTTAATTTCCTAGTTTCCTGCAGAAAATCGAACTATTGTTTATATAAACTTTTTTGTATTTCTTGAGTTCTACTATTACTCCTTTAAATATTTCCCTCTACATACCAGACACCCTGGATATGGGTTTAGAAATGTAAAAAATAAAATTGCTAACACGGGTCACGAAGAGAACTTTTTACATCCAAAAAATCCAGATTTATCTGCCTTTTTTTTTCATGTATTACTACTAAACAGTGCATCAAAGAAATTAAAGAACGTTAAATTGTTCGTCGAACAAGTACCTAAATTTAATAACTTTCATTAAGTGATATGGTCGATAACCACCGTCAGTGAACGCTAATTTTTTACCAACATTGTCAAAATCTGAGACAAATTACTATAAATGGCCCTGCAGCTTGGAAATGAGTTTTCTACAAAAAAAAAACAAAAAAAAAAACAATAATTTTTGAATCCGATCAAATCGGAGACCAAATATTTAGTATCTTCTTTCATGAAAAAGTTCCCAACAGCAGCTATTTTAAGAAAAGAACGGCACTTTCTAATGAGAAATATAGAAATTATTATCGTGACCAGTTTTAAGAATCGCATGAATTCTGCAAGGAAGCTATTGCGTCCAGATCTATTGGAACTGAATAAAAACTGGGTCCGGGAGAAAAACCGCATTTTCTTGTGCTCGAATAAAAGGTTATTTAAATGAATAAATGAAGTTAATTTTTTTTAAAAATTGATTTTCCTCCATCATGTATTTCAACTGCGAGAATCAGTTCGGAGCCAGTAGGAACAAAGGCAGCCAAGATCCAGTAATGGATTGATGGTGATGATCACATTAGAAACTTCGTCTAAGACGATGAATTTTTCCTTTATTTCTCTTTCCTTTAAATAGGTGTTTTTTTTAATATTTTGTTCCCATCATCCAAGGAAAGGCGCCCCCTGGCAGAATTCGCAAGTGCTGATCACGAAAATATATTTTTTTTTAGTATTACATTAGGAAATTCTTCTATGAGGATGAATTTTTCCTGTATTTTTCTTTTCTTTAAATAGGTTTTTTTTGTACTTTTTAGGATTTTTTTTCCACAATCCAAGGGAGGGCGCGCCGTCTGACAGTTCTCTAGTGCTGGTAACGATAATAATTGTATATATATGTATATATATATATATATATATCACATTATGAAATTTGTCTATGAGGATGAATTTTCCTTATATTCCTATTTTCTTTAAATAGTTACTTTTTGGAACATTTCGGAATTTTTTTTCAGTTATCAGGGAGGGGGCGCCCCCCGGCTGGATCACCTAGTGCACTATTATTATTATTTCTCCGTGTGAGCCTTGAACCTGAGACGAGCATCAATGAGGACTCAGGTATTTCAGATATGTCTGAAAACGAATCTCGTGCCTCCCTACTGTGAAAGTGATAGTCTCCAGTTTCTTTCTGCTAGTGAAAAGGAGTGCCTTAGTCTTCTAATCGGCAAATTGCAGGCCCATAGAAAACAACCAGCCTCAGATAGAAGCAATAGCTTGGTTAGCAATCAGGGTAACTTCTTCAACATATTTCACCACCAACACCAATGCAACGTCATCTACGAAGCCTACAACTGTAGCTCCTTCGAGCAATGGTAACCTAAAAATACCGTCATACATGACGTTCCATAGGAAAGGTCTTAATACGGAACTCATTGGGACACCACCAGTGAAATTATATATCTTTGGTCTGATGTTGGAATCATAAAACAGTACTCTGTCCTGTAGTCTGTGACAAGCCTTATAAGATAATCATGCACAGCCATAGTTCATAAGGTATCCAATAAACAGGACCATCAAGCTTTTGATCGCTCTTCTCGAAATCCATATTAGGCCTTTGACAGACCATTTGTGCTAAGAGTAAATTTTGGAAGCCTGAGACAAAGGATTTTCTCAAAAACCTTCTCTATAGCGTCCACCTTGCAAAAGATTAGGTAATTCAATTTTTTTAAAAATATTTTTAGAAATGCAGTGAATTTTAAAAATCCAAGTTTCCGCCTTTGAAAGCCGTGTGGGTTCGCTGTAGTGCTCCAAAAACCATTGGAATTTTGAACTTTTTTGGTTTTTGCCACGAACGGATCCATGATTTAATTTTGGGGAGGAGCTTCAATCCGAAAGATTTTTTTTGTAGGTATTTATTACGATAATTACTTCGAAAGAAACTAAGTACCTGTATGAAATGGTGTTTTAGTGATTATTTAAGTCCTATTAAATGTAATGTCATATTAGATCAACAATAATAATTTTAGAGATAATTTTTTTCATAAAACATGGTTTTATGAATATTTAAAACTATTTCTTAAACTATTATTGTTCGTGTAATTACATTTAATAGGGCTTCAAAAATCACTAAGACACCAGGTCATATAACTACCCATATGACCTGGTGTCTTGTACTTATATGGGTAAGTAATTTTTAAAATGTGATGTCATATTCGCATTGGTGTTCTATAACAGGGCTTAAATAACTAATTTTAAAATTTCTTCCTCTAAAGTACGTTTAATTTTTTTTTATTTCAAATAATTAACCATCTCACATTGTAACTTGCAAAATATAGTTATTTATAAGATATGAAAGAATTTGATAAAGGAGAAATAAGAGATTGTAGTAGAGAACAAAAGAAACCCGAGCGCGCAATCGAGCTTGGCCCGAAAGTCAGAATAAGCTTCCATACGTAACATGTGCTTAATAAAATACGGATTCCGATAATATTGATGTGTGTTTTTTTTTATTAATGATAGCGTTGGTATTATTCAATATTTAATTGTATACATTACAACAATATAAAATTTTAAATTTGTATATAAACCAATGCTTAAAAAAATAATAATACCCACAATGAAATATAAGGACCTTTTTTATCAGTGCCACTCTTGTCGGTCTAAAAATATTTCGTGGCACTTAATTATTTACTATAATCAAATAAATTATTAAAATATACAATCTTAAAAGGAAATGGTGACAAAAAAATCTTAAATTTAATACATTAGACGGTTGTGGAAAAATACGGTAGTTAATTGTTTTCAATAATGTTTTTTACGGCCTGTAATTTTTAATTTTACTTTATTTCTCAGAAAATACATATTTGTGCTTAAAAAAATTTTGCAACAGTCTTCATTTCCTGCAATGTCTTTCCTCTCGCTTGTCCCACTTTGGAAATATAGCTATTATAGCTAAACCTAGGTCTAGTGCCTACTGGTTTCACATCCATAAACTTGAGTGGGTTCATTCTTAATCTGAGCTCATTCTGCACACATGCCCGTACTCTTCACCCGTCTCTTCTCATGGGTCTCCTCCATTGCAGGAATATTTAGTTCTTCCCTTATAGTTTCATTTCTCGTTCTTATCCCTGAGTATTTTGAAAGCCAGTATGCTCAATTATTTCAGTTATTGTTCAGTTATTCGACTCCATTTTTTGTCTGGAAGGAATCAGCTCTCTGCTCAATACAGCAGAACAGGCATTTATAAGGCCTTGAAAATATTGAGCTTTACGCCTTTATTGACCTCTATGTTTTCTATGATTGTGTTGCTAATGGAATAGTATTGCAATTAGGTTTTCCTTCTCCTGTGGGTTATTTCTGATTGGAATTTTTAATTCCTGATTTTCACGGTTCCAAGGTAGAAGAAATCATTCACGACATAAAGTTCTTCGTCCTGCTTGTAGGAGTTTGATTTTTCTGGCATTAATATTCATGCCATTCTTTCCCCGTTCTGCTTCCCACTCCACTTGGGGTTGCTGGAAGTTATATGTAGAATCAGCAATGAGGACTATGTCAACGGCAAATACCATTACTTGTGCTAGTATAGTTACCATGTTTGTTTTTTTAAATAACAAAATCAAGAAAAATAAAAAATAAAAACTCCTGTCCTCTCGCATTCCAATTCCGAACTAATGTAATAATAGATTTAAGATAAAATCAAATTAAGATATAATAATTAAAATAAATATTTAAATACATACCTATAGAGTGCCGGCCTTAGATATTTGGCACTCCTGGGCAATGGCATCATCTCTCTCCCCTGTTTTATACTATGTAATATTTGAATTTAATTTCATTCAATATTTCTCTAACACAGTTGTATTGTTATGTTTTTAATAATTTTTAAATTAATAATAATAAGAAAATTCAGTGTTGCCCCGTCCTCAAGGGTGCCCATCCCTCCCAAGGTCGATGACGCAAGAACCTACCCTCCCCCCCCCCTCCTCTCCCAATTGCTCACCTTTTCCAAAAAACAGAGGAAAGGAAAGTAGAATTAGAAAAATCTTTATCGTATACAATTACACTGCAGTCTGTTCTGTCGATTAGTATGAAACTTTTCATTACGAAAATTCATAACCCCGTTGAAATGTGCCCCCCTCAAAAATTAAAAAAACCGAAGGAATGTGTCCCCCTTCAAAAATTCAAAAACCCGTTAAAATATGCCCCCTCAAACATTTTGATGGTGTAACTTGCGCTATAAAATCCTCCCGCACTGTACCTCACAGGCGGATTTACGTGGGAGGGCTTTCGGGCTGAAGCCCCCCAAAATGGCAAAATATGACCATTTTTTATAGAAAAAAATATTAAAAACTATCTCTTAAAGTATTATTGTTCGTGTAATTACATTTAATAGGACTTCAAGAATCACTTAAACATCATGTCATATAGGTAGTTAGTTTCTTTCTTTTTTTTTTTTTCAAAATTATTATCGTTATATATATAAAAAAAAAAACCTTTCGGGATGAAGCCCCCCAAAATTAAATCTAGGATCCACTAGTGCTGTACCTATATATGCAATAAAGGAAATTTGGTTCTAAAATTTAATTGCTATTTTAAAATTGGAAAAGTGAAGAATGTGCAGTTTCATTTAAAAAAAAATCAAAAATCTTATAAGATAACTTCTGGGACAGCCTTCGCGTGAGTAGTAGGCGTCCGATTGAACTTCACAAGTTTTTGCGAGTTATCATTATTACTTTTAGCTTGATATATGTATCTCTGTACCTTCACGAATGAATGATAAATTTCAAATCTGATAGGGATATTGAATGTAAACCACATCTTGAGTTTAATTCACTTGGTGAGAAAAATGAGAGTTAATTTATAAAAGCTTGATATTGACAAAAATATTTTACATGACCTCTCTGCTATCGCCAGATATTTGATAAGATGCAATAAAATATAATAAAACGTCTATTTTCAAACATCCATATCACAGCAATTATACAAGATTAATTATTATAAATATACTTCAGATCATGTGTTACTGCAACAATCTCTGTAATTGCATATAACCTACTAATACCTCCTCAAGTAACTACCGATAAATAATTCAGTTTGTGAAACCTATAAACAATTACTAAATAGCTGAACTTGGATTCACCAGCTAAAAAGCTATTAGGAAATTGAGGAATATTAGTTGTATTATTATTTTTTTGATTGTAAGTATTATGAATTTGTAAATCTTTATCATGATTTTAATTCATTTTTTAAATTTAATTAAAGTTTACACTATATGTTGTGATTTATTACAGATATTGATTCAGTTCAACTTTGAATTGAAAAATGGCTTTGAAATGGGGAATTTTAAGTACTGGGAAAATATGCAATGATTTTGTCAATGCTTTAAATTACTTACCTGATGATGAACATCAAATAGTGGGTGTTGCTGCTAGTAAAAAGGAAAAGGCTGAAGAGTTTGCTCGCAAACATAATATTCCTATTGCATATGAAAGTTATGAAGATCTAGCCAAAGATACATCAATTGGTACTTGTTTATTTACCTTTGGTATTATATAAAACTTTTTGTACTGATATCAACAAATCATTTCTCTAAAGAAAAATATTCAATGAAGTCTGCATCCTGAAAGAACAAAATATGTGAATACATATTAGTATTAAATTTAAAAAATTCGTAATTGTGAATATAATTTTTAAGATTATAACAATTATGTTACTCTGTTGAAAATGTGTAATGACATTATATAGTATGCCAGTAAATCCCTGTACATGAAAATATAATTGATTTTAAAGTCTTATAATTATGGCTTTCATGTATTCCCAATAGATACCATAATCTACTCTTTTAAAGTCTTATAATCCTATTTAATAATGTTTTATTCGATGAAGTAACTCATTTACGTTTGCATTTTCTTTTCTTTTATGAATTAAAACAAAAATTATGGGATTGGAAAGACAAGGAGTAGAACCAGTATAAAGCTCTATTGGATAAGGCTAAATTAGGACATCTAGACAAGACTGTTATTGTTTTAACATGAAATATTCTTAATTCATAAGACTAATAATAATCACTATTATTTTATTTTACAGGTGTAGTCTATATTGGGACTATTAATACAGCTCATTACGCTCTTTGTAAATTAGTATTGTCCAATAAAAAGCATTTGCTTTGTGAAAAGCCACTTTGCTTAAAGTACAAAGATGCGGAAGAATTGATAACTGTAAGATTTTTGTATTATTACTAAAATAATTGGACTTTCTGTTTAAAAGTGTAAGAGTCGTGGACAAATTTGTCTAATACATAATCTGGACTCATAAAGCTTTAATATCTTTATACATATTTTATGCTTTAAATAAGTTATTAACTGTTTTCCTTATGTAGGTATGTTTTAGCATGTCTCTATAAGAAGAACCTTGGTTATGGCACACATTAAGAAAAGATCTACTGAAAAGGTGCCCAAGCACTCCTGATCTTATTAAATTATTGTCCATATCATCATACTATCATTCCCAGCAATCAGAACAATATTTAGAAATATCATCTGTTTATTTAATGAAAATTTTAATCATTTAGATGCTTCTCCCTATTCGCAATGATTTGTAGAGATTTTCTGAGAAGTTGAAGATAAAGAATATTTCAACCAACAAAAAAAAAAATTAATAATAATAATAATCTAACCAACTATCACGGCGCTACAACTCGGTGACGTGTCTTGGCCTCCTCCACCAGCTTCATCCAGACATTTCTTTTCTGTGTGGCCATCATCCAGCTCCTGATTCCCAGGACATCCCTTGAATCTCAAGGGAAGCCACACCGTCTGACCATCTTAGTTTTTTTCTTCCTCTTCTTCTTGTGCCATAGAGAGGTTCTGTCAGGATCATCTTGGGGATTGCTTCGTTCTTCATCCTTACCACGTGATGGGCTCTCAGTCTTCCAAGCTTCATCCTCAGAAGGATATCTTGATCATTAAAAATCGAGTAAGTTTTGGTGTTTGTCTGCCTTCTACAATTTCCATCGATCTGTCATCATCATCATAATCTATCCTTTTGAACCGCATTAAGCAGTGTGAGGAGGAAGTTTATAGAGCCTTCTCCAGCTCTGCCGGTCTTCAACAAGACGCCTTCTCTGGAAATCGCTCTTTAGCTCATCTTCCCATTTCCTTCTAGGCCGTCCTCTTCCTCTCTTGCCGTCTACTTTAGATCGATAGGTTTCGCTAGCTATTCTGTTTGGTTCCATCCGCAGAAGATGTCCTAGCCATCTCAGTCGATTCTCCTCAATCACATCATTGGCCGGCTTAATATTGAGGTTCGACCTAATGGTGGTGTTGCGTACTCTATCTCTTCTCGTTTTCCCCTCAATCTTTCGGAGGAATCGCATTTCTGACGCTTGTATCCTAGATCGATGTTTCTTTGTCAGCGTCCATGATTCTGAAGAGTACGTTAAAATGGCATTTCTGACGCTTGTATCCTAGATCGATGTTTCTTTGTCAGCGTCCATGATTCTGAAGAATACGTTAAAATGGGAAGAAATTTCGATCTGAAAACAGCTACTTTTGTTTTCTTTTCCACCTCGTACCTGTTTAGAAAACCTTTCTTAACTGCTTCAAATATCCTGCTCGCAGCAGCGATTCGCTCAGTCACCTCTGAATCGATGTATCCTGCTCGAGATACACCTGCTCGAGGATTTTGTCTTCGACTCTGATGACCCGCATATTTCTCCTAGGCTTCTTTCTAACCCTCATTACTTTCGTTTTTACAGGGTTGATAATCATATTAATCTTCTGCAATTCTTCTTTTAATCTATGAATATTGTACTGAAGATTCCTGTCACTGTCCAAAAAACTAACAACGTCATCAGCAAATGCAAGTATTGAGAGGCTCAACGATCTCAGGTTGGCATATCCCAGGTGGAATTCCCTCATTTTTCCTTTAGCCTTTCTTATTGCTGAGTCCATCACTAGTATAAACAAAAGTGGACTAAGACTACAACCTTGCTGGATTCCAATTGTTGTCTTGATTACCTGTGAAATGCAGTTGGCAAATCTTACTATATTTCTTGTTTTCTTGTAGAGACTCTACTGCCAGAACATGACCTTGATCAATCCCTTTTTCTCTCAAGGCCTTCAAGATATCACACTTTCTCACCCGATCGAAGGCCCATGCACCCATTCTCTTGTATCGGCCTCCAATTCTTTTTTTTACCACAAACCAATGCTGCTGTGTCCATAACTATTTTCTCAAAATAGAACCAGCTTGTTTCTATGACATCAGAGTCCCACTGATTGTCCAAATCTCTGGCCATTCTCTCAATGTCTTCCTGGTTGTAGGTAGCAATCATCTTCTCTTAGTCTATACGCCTTAACCACTTCTACTTGGGCCCTTCTTGCATGCTTTTTGTTTCTTCTCTCCCCTTTCCATACCAGATCCATTTTTAATAAGTAGTGGTTGCTTCATATTTCAAATCCTCTTTTAACTCGCACGTATATCACATCTTTGAGAGATTGTTTCTTTACAAGAAAATAGTCTATTACAGACTTTTCGTTTCTACTCGGTTCCCTAAACATAAAACTTACACCTCTGCTGGCTATTCTTTCTTCAGTGGTCCCCGAATACAGTAGAATGTTATCTCCAATCCTCTCTTCGTCTTTTCCTTTCCTCTTGATCTCAGTTATTGCTAGCAGATCAACCTTTGCCTTATGTTTCTCTTCCAGTAGCTTGTACTCCTTCCCCCTCAAACCTCGCAAGTTCCAGGTTGCCAGTTGTAAAATTCCTTTTCCTCGCCATGTCGAATTCCATAAAAGCTGTCCGGCTGTATCTCTTCCATTACTTGTGATATTCTAGATTTCGGAAGGGCAGGGTATTGGCCTGTCCAATCCTAGTGCGGTCGGGGGGCTGCCCCTTAGGGTAACCCTACATTCCCTTCCTGATAGGAAAAATCTCCTGGGGAAGGTAACCCTAGGGTGTGTACTGTAGCTGACCTTATGTTGAGTGTAGGTGATTAGTGTACTGTTCTGGTGAATGTGATGGTGTACTGAACTGTGGTAACCCATGGGGGCGCTACTCCCCAAGTAACTGTATACAACAGTTCCCCCTTGCGGGACCCATCGATCTGAACTCCTCCAAATATTCGAAGAACTTTTCTCTCAAAGATTAGGAGGTCTTGCTCGATTCTTTTAGTTGTCGTCCGTGTTTCTAATATATATAGCAGGACTGGAAGGATTAGTGTTTTCAAGAGATGTAGCTTGTTCTGCCGGGATAGAAGGCGAGAGGTGTTATTATTATTCCTAGCGAATGATAGTAATCACTATAGATATTATTGTGTTTTTATGTAAAAATAAAATAATATATAACTTTTGATTTATTTTTTAGTAAATTTTAAATAGAGTAAGCAGCAGTTCGTGTACTGCACTATAAATAGATATAATGAGACCCTATCTGTATGTGACAGACCACGACATGGCTATCCCCGCACTGTGATAACGGCAAATGCAGTGACAGCATTGGCTGCTTGAATCAGAAGAAATTCCATTCAAAAACAACAAATCATGTTTTGGGAAATGGAAATCTCTGTTACACCAATGTCTCACATAATAAAAAGTGACCTTAGGATGGGTTCATTTCAAAGAATGGCAGGACAAAGGCTAACCGCTTCCCTAAAAAAAATTAGAGTGGATAGATGCAAAGTGCTCCTTGGCGGTTACACCAATGGTCTTCATCGAAAGAGTGTTGTTTAGTGATGAGACAATTTTTACAATTGAAGAAAAATTTAATCGCCAAAATGATCATGTGTACGCACACAGCTCTAAAGAAGCCCAGGAAGTCATTGGAAGAATGAAAAGAGGCCATCACTCTTCCTCAGTGATGGCTTGGTGGGGAGTTAGATTTGATGGCACTACAAAGCTCCATTTTTGTGAAAAAAGAGTTAAAACAGCCGCTAAAAACTATCAGGACGATATTTTGAAACCTGTTGTCAAGGCTCTATATGATACTCTGTTTGCTGGAAGTCATTGGGTTTTCCAGCAGGATTCCGCTCCAGCTCACAAGGCCAGGTCAACTCAGCAGTGGCTGCTAAAAACATTCCAGAGTTCATCAATGCTCGGAGTGGCTATCAGGAAGCCCTGATCTCAACCCACTAGATTATCAACTTTGGTCTGATCTGGAGAGGATGGCATGCCACAGAGCAAACCCTAACTTGTAAGGCCTCAAACAATCTCTGGTTCGTACAGTTGAGTGCTTTCGTACTGTGTGCTGCTATTGATGACTGGCCACGGAAATTAAATGCCTGTGTCAAAGTAAAAGGGAGACATTTTGAGCAATTTCTTTTTTGTTATACTCTCTCTCTCTCTATATATATATATATACATTTTCTTTTCTAACAAAGTTTTTGAAAAAAATTAATTTTTCTGTTGAAATCTGTATATATTTCCTTCTTATAATATTTATGACAGGACTAGGTAGGATGGAGGGCAATGCTTTCTGTTCACAACTATAAGAAGGAACCTCCAAAAGTAGGTCTAAGAAAAAATATCAGTGCTGTTTCTAGAATGATCTTGATATCCGTGTGTTTTTAGGTTCCTACTAACCATATTGACAAGGATTAGTTCTACTTTTTTTTTTTTATTAAACGCCTCTGCCATTGGCTATTAGGCCATTCGGCTCCTTGCAGCCCAATACAACTCCGCCATGAATCCTTTGTTTAAATTTGTTCCGATCCCATCAGAAGTACTGCGGACATCTGACAGAGCGGGGCAAACTGAGAGGTGCATGTCTTACATCTCGTTCTGTTGGCAAAGAGGGCACACAGGACTTTTCACCACTCCAATCCTATATAAATGCCTTTGCAGGTGATCATGCCCTGTTGCCATGTGGAAATTTGCCACCGATTCTTTCCTATTTTTAGTTTGTTTCATCGGCTCCTCTGTTAAACATTCCCATTTTTTCCCCGCTCCCTGTCGCTTTTACCAACTCTTGTTCTCTTCCTTGTAAAATGATTTGAAAATCCTTTTAACAGATTCGTAGGGCAGCAGAGGATTAGTTTGTGGCATTTCCGAGGCAATCCATGCGAGCTCATCAGCTTTTTTGTTTCCTGGTAGCCGGCAATGGCTTGGAACCCATTGGTAAGCCACTAAGCCACTCAGATTCCTTTTTTAATTAAGTTCTACATTTATGTTTACAGCTCTTTAAATTTTAGGACTATTACCATTAAAATGTCAATTTAACC